GGACAGCAGATAGCGATTGACATTGCATTTAAATTTTGGCAGGCTCATGTTGGCTAGAAAGTGTGGAGACTGAAGGGAGTTCTACAAGTGAGAAGTGCGAGAAAAGAAACTGTTAGTATAGTTACATCTCAGCCAGCTCAACTGTAAATTGTTGAGATCTCAACACCAGTCAAGTACTGCACTTAAATTCAAAGAGTCTAGGCACCGTAGCGAAGGGCTCATCCGAATAATTACCACGAGAGTATTTATAGAAAAGGCATAGGGACGCAACCTTATGGCGGTGGGAAAGTGAGTGAAGACGAGATGCCAGATCGGAGCCAATAATATTGCTGATTCTTATTCAGATTTTATCAAGGAGCTCTAGATAAATGGTAAACTTATAGATATGTAACGTAGACTCTAGAGAGAAAGCTTGTCTTGCACAACACAGTGAGCCAACCTTCCTCGCAGTTGATCTAGCAGTGGATTTAATAAAATCTTTCCACTTCATGTCAGCCGAAAAAGTTAGCCCAAGATGGCGCAACGAGAAAACACCTCTGTGTTACAACCACTGTGGTGGTGGTTGTATGGGTCGTGAATAATGAAAGCCATGTTATGCCACGCCACTTATCTCATTGTCCATGACACCGACTACATCTCTCCTACGTGGTCCAGGAACTGCTGGCTGAGAATTATCACGTTCATTACACCTTCAAAATGTATCCTAGCTTTCCCGATTTGAAGCCCCTTGACTAACATGTCTGAGGTGCCGTTGCTTCGCAATACGAATGAATTGCTGAAGACTGCCATTGTAGACGTGTAGTCGATCCTGGGGACGCATTCCGTAGCTGAAATTGTTTTTATTAAATAGGCTTTTTTTTGTCTAATATATATATATATATATATATATATATATATATAAAAGTTCTCAGAATCAATCTGTAGAGAAGACAAATTGAATAAAACAGACAATCGGAAAATAATAATAGTCCTTGTCGACACGTTTCGTCAAATGACTTTATCAAGTAATAATAAACAAAAGCGAAATGTTGTGTAGTTACATAGAATTCAAAAATTTTTAAAAGACGCTCCTGCGAAAACCTCTTTTTGTATATTAGTAATTTTTTCTTTTTTTTTTTTTTTTGACTCGGTGTGTATTTTGTTTTCTATGCCGACAATGCGTTAAAGTTCTCAGAATATACATGAACAAAAATTTTATAGCACATAATTTATATATTGCTTTAAAAATGATGGGGCGAATTCTTTAAAAGGGACCTTTACGTCTAGCAATTCTTCAGAATGATTCGTTAGAAAAAAATCCGAACATGCAAAAAATAATCATGGACGGCGAAACTGAAAAAGAGCATTGTAGGTAAATAAGAAGCCACAACTAAAATAAATTTATTACTAAAAAATAAATCGATGTAGATAAGCTCCTAGTGTACTCACGACCCACTCATGAAACACAGAGAACTTTGCCTGCACAAAGTCGGTGAATGAAGCTTGATATGAACCGCTTCTAAAAAAAATTAAATGTTTAGTCAACCGAGCTTCATCTTAGACGCTTCATCATCAAAAAAGCGCAACCCGGGTTGTTCACCAAATGTAGTCCAATCGCTGACTCAAAAAATGACTGAGTTAAGTGAATACTGTCGTTAACTCCACCCTGTGTTATATGAGTAGGTATGTATTGTCCAATCCGGATCTATGACCGCAAGTTGGTTCGCCCCACATAGTCAGCCTCGCACTGAGATTTAAATTGGTAAATAACAGAACTGTTAACAAAACTTGACTGGTACCCAAGTTTCTGACCGGTACTATGTTTCTGACCGAAGGAGTTCTGTTGTCTTGATCACTGGGCAGATGAGACATGTAAACTCGGATTATCACGCCGGTATCTTCATTCAAGGGTTATTTGTCCTTTCATTAAGGGCGCTGAAGGTAGATGTTTTCTGGGTTTTGGCGTCATATGTCTTATAGTCAGGGATCTGAACCTTCGAGTAACTTCGAAGGAGGCTATACTATCAGCAGGTGTATAATATCGGGGCTATTGTACTGCCATTTTATGAATGGTTTCTGGATCGTGCAGTAGTCTCCGGTGGAACCTTTCGATGCAATGATGATAGATACTGCTATAGCAGTATCTCCAGACAACTCAATCCAGATTATTTAAGCATGCAACTCCTGTGGGTGTGTCTGGCCCATTGCCTACTAGTCTTCCACCAACGAATAAACACATGAAATCGATTAAACTGAAAATGAACAAAACTAGCAAACCCAACCGCATAAAGTAGACCCCAGTTATACTATCTCTTAAACCAATGTGAGCGGTCTACGTTCCAACTTTCCAGAAGTGGAACTCCCATCATATTCAGTCTAAACCCGACTTCCTGTTTATGTCTGTAACGGGTATCAATGCCTCAATCCCACTACAGGAGCTTACAATTCCGAGCTACTCCCTCCTTATAACAAAACAAGATCAGCTAAATCACCGCGGCCACGGACTTAGAGCCTACATCAAGGATGGGTTTCCCTGTGGCAGGGACGAAAAAAACGAGGACTCCGATCTCCCGTATATGTACTTCTGCATGGCATTTATCCATAGTACCCCATTCGTTTTGCTCTCTATGGCCCTCAAGACTGTAATATTCGATCTAATATCGGAGAGTATTAATAACATCCACGCTGAATTTCTCTCGGCTACCATTCATATCTGCGGTGACTTCAATATCCACCACAAAGAGTGGTTAGTTCCCTTAAAGAAAACCGATGAAGAAGGCAGATATTTCTCCATCGCCTATGAATTAACCCATTAAATGGCAGCCGATGTCCAAAACGACCTCAAGTCCGTAGTAAACAGGGGTAAAAGATGGCTTGTTAATTTGAACGCCTCCGAAACTAAAATTTTCTCCAGTAATCATCTGCGAAATCCCTTGCTGCTTTCCATCAGTATGGCTAATGCTATCCTCCAAGAATTGTGGCACTTTGCGCCTCCTCGAGTTAGAATGAATTGGAAAGATTTTATTGAATCTATTGATAGATCTGCTGTTAAGTCAGCTCACTATGTCGGGCGAGACAATTTTTCTCTCCAGAATCTACCTTACATATCTTACATATCTATAAGTCTACCATTCGTCCATGCTTAGAATATTGCTGCCACCCACGGCCCTGTGCCCCTGCTATTTAACTTGACATCATTGATAGGACACAAAGAAGAATCTGCAATATTATTGGTTCTGATCTGGCGGCTCAACTGCACTCACTTTCTCACCGCCATAAGGTTGCCTATGTCTTTTCTATAAATACTATAAATGTTAATTGTTCGAATGAGCTCTTGTCTATGATACCTACAGTTTTTAAATTTAAGCATACTGGAGTGGAGATCCTATCATTTTACAGTTGAGCTGGCGAGATACAGTCGTAATTTCTAAGATAACAGTTTCTTCTCTAACATTTGTCATGTGTGGAACTCCCTTCCACCTCCATACTTTCCAGTCAGCTTTGATCTGCACAAATTTAAATGCAATGTCAATCGCTATATATGTATACATGATTACTCTCTTCTCTTTCTGCTCATCATTAATGTGTCTGTTGCTAATTCTTCCACTCCCTGTAACATCTTGTGTTTTAGTGGCATTACTGCCTTGCCTGAGGTGATTTCGATTATATATATATATATATATATATATAATTTTACTCTGAGTGTGTATGTATACACAGGTATGCTGAAACGTTCTCGGACAGATCCAATTCCCACACATTTTTTAAATCTGTTCTTGGTCAGGTTAAGAACTTTTCAGTATCTCCTCTCATATATATATATATATATATATATATATATATATATATATATATATATATATTTTATATTTAACGTTGTTATTTTATAGATACAAGTATTTAAGCAAATGCTCTGTTTATGATAAACAGTATTAAAACATTTACCGCATGTCGTCCTATACGGAACCGTTTCATACGCCGACGTGCCTTCTTACCGCTTAGGCTACAAAGAAGCGTTCGGTATAGGATGCAGGTTCGAATCCGTCAAAGAACGAAAATTTTCTATGAAAATTTCTCGGACATTCAGGCCGGTAAATGTTATTTAATACTGTTTATCATAAACAGAGCATTTGCTTAAATACTTGTATCTATAAAATAACAACGTTAAACATAAAATATGTCTTTAATAAATAAATTGTCGGACCTTGTCCATTTCTTAATATATATATATATATATATATATATATATATGGGGGTCGTGCGTGTATGAGTGTGTGTCTGTGTTAATATTACGTAAAATTTTGCCGTCAAAATAAATGTCCGTGAGCTTATATTTATTTATCTTTTAAATCTGTCATCCATCTTGTATTTTGGACAACATGGCGGATCTTACTTTAAGAACAATAATTCATTTTACGTTAAAATTTAAAAATCAAAATTGGCAGAAACAACTTTGTTTTCTTATTCATTTCTCTTTTAGCATTTTGTCATTTTATAAACATGCGATTATTTAGTTAATAGATTTTACAAATAAACTGCTTGGTTATTCAAACGTATCTATTTATTCCCTGAAACTAGTAATGGCATTGGCTATCACATTACAGCTTGGAGAGGAAGCAAGTTGAAATAGTTTTATATAATGTAATCTGAAAATCTAACTAATCTAAAACTTTGTTTCTGAAATCTCTCACACACGCACAGACAATCTATCTATCTATCTATCTATCTATCTATATATATATCTTTTATTCATGTCTGAATTTTTAAACACACAGATCTCTCTCTCTCCCTCTGCCTATCTCTCTCTCTCTCTCTCTTATATATATATATATATATATATATATATATATATATATATATATATATATATATATCATGCTTTAGATAAAAACGGTGAAGCCCGGGCTGTTGCATTGGACATCTCGAAAGCCTTTGACAGTGTCTGGCATTCAGGTCTTCTCCACAAGCTGAAAACTTAAGGTGTCTCTGGACACTTTTTTGAACTGATCCAGTCTTTCCTATCATATCGTGAAATGAGATAGATAGATAGATAGATAGATAGATAGATAGATAGATAGATAGATAGATAGATAGATAGATGGGAAAAGAGAGAGAGAGAGATCTGTGTTTAAAAATTCAGATATGAATAAAAGATATCTGTAAAGACAATATTATTAATAGAAAAGACAAGACCCAAACCTTTGTGCCAATTCGTTACGCTCCTTAAGGAACTTTATCAAGGCAAGTGTATAAATATTATTTAGTAACCTGTATTTGTACACAGGCATAACATGGAGAAAAATAACATTAAGTTCACAAATATTTGTATATTTTGTTACTGCTTTGACTTGGTCTATTTTCCAAAGCCATTGAACACTTTGTATTATTGCCAATATAAGTGATAAAATAAGTCACCTCTCAAAGAACTGTTGGAACAGCTTAGTGACCTTGACACATTTAGGAATGATATTAGAATAATCTAGAACCTATAATGGCATGAAGATAGATAGATAGATAGATAGATAGATAGATAGATAGATAGATAGATAGATAGATAGATAGATAGATATACTGTCATGCATAGGAATAAAAAATGAATTCAGTAAATATACAAAAATAGAAAGGGGTATAAGTTAATGATGTGTCTTCTTACCGAACTTATTCAACCTATACGATGAGAAGATTCTGAGAGAATTGGAAGTCCTATCAGAATTCATTATTGACGACCACAATCTTAGCAAAATTAGATATGGAGATGACAGTGTTGATAGCAAACATAGAAAACGAAACTAAAAGAAATCCTACAGAATTTAGTGAAGGAAAGCGAGAAGAAAGGGCTAAACCTCAATTGCAAGGAGACAGAATGCGTGGTTGCTAGCAAAAGAAACAGCCCAACATGCAAATTACAAATTGGACAATCCAAAATCAAACAAGTACAAAAATTTAAATATCTGGGAAATGCTTTAATAGAGGAGGGAAAGTGCGACACTGAATTCCGAAGGTGTATTGTGATAGCCAAAGACACATTCCAAAAGCTAAGCAAGGTATCAAGAAACAGAAGAATTTAATTAGGAACAATGAAAAGAGTACTGAATTGTTACGTAATATCAGTTCCCCTATATGGCAGTGAATGCTGGACAATCTCCTCACACATGAAGAGGAGAATTGAGGCAGCAGAAATGTGGTCCTACAAGAGGATGCTGAGGATACCATGGACCAAACATATGAGCAACGACAAACTTTTAGAGAAAATGAAAGCAAAAACGAAGCATATCTAACACCAAGAAAAGACAGCTGAAATTTCTAGGGTAAATAATGAGGAAAGAGGGATTGAAAAATATGATACTTACAGGACAGATTAAAAGAAAGAGGGACAGAGGAAAACAACGCATAACCTACCTAGGGAACTTGAGTAAACGGATGGCGGAAAAAGGCTTAGAAGAGATAACAAAAACAAGATTTATTGAGCTACGAAGGAGAGGAAATTGCCTACGTCATGAAGGGTCACGGCACATAGAAGAAGAACGTGGCTGTCTTTTCTTTTTCTGTTTATGCTTCCATTTTTTTGTCGTTTTTTTTATTCTTGGTTTTCTTAATTTTCTTTTGCCGTTATACGTCATTTCATTTGGCAGGTTTTATGTTGGCAGAGTTGTATTTAGAAGCTTTGTTAATAGTTAGTTTGGTTTGGTTTGTTTTGTTTTACGGCATATCAACCTGAATGGGTTATTTAATGCCGACAAGATTTTCATTGCTGGTGATATTTTTTCAAAAATGTATTGCTGGTAACAATTATTTTCTTCAAAACTTCATTGCTGGTAATAACTTTTTACAAAAATGTATTGCTGTTATTAAAACCTATTTTTACATTTTCATAATGCTTCGCCCTCAGTTTGGAGTTTAACTATTTGCCCATAGCTGGGACCCTAACAGGTACTACCACCCCGGGTCAGCAGCAGTTAAGAAGTGGTTCCACGCTCCTCAAAACCTCCTGATCAGTTCATCGTTTTACCCAGGACGGCAATAGTTATTAAAGAATCTTAGCAACAAGGAAATTTTGTACATCAACAACTGGCTTTTTTACGAAATATAATTCGCAATTTGGAGATGAAGATGAACAAACTCAATAGACACAAAATGTTTATATTTTTAATAAGACACACACACACACATATATATATGTGTGTGTGTGTGTGTGTGTGTGTGTTTGTGTGATCGCTTAAAGAATAAAACTGATAATCACCATGCCATGTTGATTTCTACGTCCACACAGTCTCCAAGAATCAAAATGACTGGGGGCTTGCAGCTGATCTGCCCTCTGACTTCGTTCTAACAGCTCAATGCGAGAAAAACTAGCTTGAAAACTCTCAATAGCTCAAAAATCAAGCTTGTATTATTTCATAATCACTGATCAGATCTTAAATTGATGAACGCTTGCACTCTCAATGAGTCTCCTTTCTTCAAACGTTTATTAGAACTCACGCCAGAACTCAAGTGGAACTTATATATACGATCCATCGCTAAAGAGGCTGGAAAAATGGTCGGCTCCTTGTACCGCTACAGAAACTCCTCCTGCCATGCTTACACGATTCAGAGTCGAGCAAAAATGGAGTATTGCTGCCATATCTGGGCTGCCCAGTCCTCGCTTTCCAGATTTGGTAAAGATCAAAATCGTTTACACCAGAGACGACGACTTATTAACCACCTTAAAGTTTTTTTTTTCTCCACAGAAGCAACGTAGCCTATTGCTACCTCCATGGCAAATGTTCAGACGAGATTCTTTAGTGCTCAGACCTTTACAATCAATTCACGCCTTGCTACACCCACAGGGTTGAATTATCCTTATTACATTCGTATTCCTTTCGGAAGAAGGAAGTTCCATTAAAACAGCTCCTTCCTTTGAACCGCTATTGTGTGGAACAGAATTCCTCTTGGATACTTCCCTGAATAGTAGGGTGTCAATCTCACGCCAGACCTCAAGTGGAACTCATATATACAAACTATAACTAAAGAGGCTAGAAAAATTGTCGGCTCTTTGTACCAATCCTTTACAAGAGACAAGTCATACCAAAAATGAACTATTGCTGCCGTATCTGGCACGAGCTGTATGATCATCACTTTCCAGCCTTTTCGTCTACGTGGACTTGTAGGAATAGATAGTGAATAATTTTCCACCCTAAAATCACATTCTCAAAGACGAAAAGTTACAAGTCTCTTGCTACACTATCGCTATTTCTATGGAAATTGTTCTTTTGATCTACATTCCTTAATTCCACCAGTTCAAACCTTTACAGCTAAGGACCACTCTGCCATATATACATTGTTCACTTCCATTGTTTATAACAGTGCTTGGAATGAAAGTGTGTAGAGTGAGGTCAGTGACCATACCATGTGCACCAGTTTTTGACTAAGCACAACATTCCCCAAGTCCGACAACCACCATATTCCCCAAATCTCTCCCCCGCCCCCACTGCGACTCTTCTTCAAAATCAAATCCCACTTGGAAGGAACATGATTTCAAGCCGTCGAGTTCATCAAAGAGAATGCAACGAGGTAGCTGCTCGCTATCCCAACAATGAAGTCCCAGGAATGATTTAATCAATGGAAAACGACTCTGGATAAAGTGTAGCTTCAAAGGGGACTACTTCAAAGGAGATTAAATGCCGAATTGATATGGTTTGTAGCTTTCTTTTATAAAACTAGTCCCGATACATTTTGATCAAACCTCTTATATATATATATATATATATATATATATATATATATATATATATATATATATATATATATATATATAATTTATTTAAAAATATGATTCCAATAAATAAATAATTATATTTATATATTTATGCTCTACTTTTGTATCGAGCACTATTTTTAAAAATAATAACTAAAATACTAAGGAACTTCGAATTATTTACCTAACGAGTTCCTTCCTATTTTCTATATTTTCTATATATATATATATATATATATATATATATATATATATATAATAAATGTAATGAGAACGAAAAGGATATAAATTCAAATGTTCATAGCATTAATTTAAAAGAGGGCTCAATACCAAGAGTAGACCAATAGTTATTTATTATAAAGATATATGGACATAAAGATTATAGGGACAAACAAGTACTTTGTTCCTCACCTATCGAGATGCGTTCGCATCGAAACAAAAATGCATCTTTGTCGTGAGTACTTCTTTGTCCCTATGTAACATCTTTATAATATATATATATATATATATATATATATATATAATTTTCTTCCATATGTATATATATATATATTCGGAAATACATGCATGATTGTGAAATCGAATAATTGTTCATCTTAAAACCAGTGATGACAATAAAAACAGGATTTAGCAAATAAGAAAATCCGAATATGAGCATACTATTGTATTATACACATATTCACTACTATAAAATAAAATAATCAAAATTAAATCCAATATTTAAAGTTGAAAATTGCCTAAAGACAAAATAAAACGTAATTTAAAAAGTATTTATAATTCTTCGAAAATCCGACAAATCCCTACACAGTGTCAAGTTGAAATAACAGAAATAATTTTGTGTATCAAAAATATCACTCAAATGAAATATCATTCGCTCTTTATGCAGATGAGGATGCAAATAATACATCGAATTTTATATATTCCATCTTTAACCATATTTTAACAACCTACAAAAATGTTTCTAAAAATATTGTTTGTGTCTAGACATTTTCTTATTTTATGGGCCAAGTGGTTAGAACGTTCGCATTCTGACCATAAGACACGGGTTCGAATCTCACCATGGTCGATTTGTCAGGAAGGAGACTTTCTGATGTTTTCAGACTGGAGGTGTCGTTTCCAGCGTGCGGCACCTTTGGAAAGTGTCTAAAAACCATACCACGGATTGACCCAAACCTTAGTGAAATTGAACGCTTGCAGGCTGTCAATAGCTTGCTAGCACGAAGTCACAAGTCATCGTGGCTGAGGGCTTGAGCGTGCCGGCCTTGTTCAAATTGTCTATCACGCTAGATAACACGCTCTTTCTAAGCTCTACTCAGCATAGTTGCAGTATAAACAACTATAAAACACTGGGTTCTTTGAGTGTTGAATAAACACAAATGCGCCTAAGCAAGCGTCTGAAATAGGGATTGGCTTGTCGCCCTAGTAGACGGGTATCCACGAATACGAGTGGCCAGCTATACATTTACTCATTGACCTGTATTTCTACATGCTATTTGAATCTACAATACTCGTTTTCAAGTATACCAGTCTGCTCGGGTGATTAGCTATCCTTGTTGTAGGTGTCTGCTCAGACACGTTTATATTTCTGAACAGGCATCTGCAATGTTTTATACTGTAGCTATGCTGAACAAAACTTAGTTACAGTTTCTGTGAATTAATTTCTGGCGTGATCAGTAGTTGAAGAAAGTCAGTTCGTTCGGACCCTCGGTCACGATGACTTGGGGCTTCATGCTAGTACAACCATCGATGGCTTTTAAACAATGTTGTCTACCTGTGGTATGGTTTTCAGGCACTTCCCATCAGTGCTATATATGCTATGAGCATCCCGTCATACCGATATGATGAAGTTACCTCCTTGACAAATCAAAGTGCGATACGAACCCCTATCTCATGGTCTAACTATTAACCATGCACTCATATACAAAAATCTTACTATTCACGAATATATTAATGAATTTATTGGTATTTAATTTAAAAATTGTTTATTCAATGAAAAGAAATAAAATTTAAGAGAAATCATTCGACAGCATTTATTAAGATTATAATATTCTTTTTCTTTTGTTATTTAACCTTTTAATTAGTAAAACAGGTTAATTAAATCTCTCTATATTTATCTAACTGTCTATCTATCTGTCTTTCTATCGATCTAATTATTTATCTATCCTTCGCAATCTGTTCATATCTATATATCATATCCTATTCATATCTTAGTCTGTTTATATCTATCTTAATCCGTTCATCTCTCCCTGAATGGATTTCGCCCTTGTAGAATCTGTATCCGTGATACAAATATCAATTTTTGAACAAAGATATAATTTACTAATGCGTGAAACAAAAGTAAATATTAGAACGAGAAAGAATGGCTTTTCCAGAAAAAGACTGAAAACAAAAGAATGTAAAAAACAAAATACATACCCGATCAGAATGTAATCCTTGCACGCCCACCGACTTGTGGGGTCCAGCTTCAAATTTAGTTTGTCTTTCTTTTGGAATCCGTACGCTGAATTCACCAACAAACAGTACGAACGCACAGCTAAAATGTATCTCAGTTATCAGAAGCAAACTGCTTTTTTTATTTCAAGGCGGGACGAAGGAGTCTGATCGAAAGAAAGATTCAGTGACACAGAGAGAGAAAGAGAGAGAGAGAGGAAGAAGGAGAGGGAGAGGGTGGGGAGAGATAGAGAAAGAGACTACCTTGATGAACTGGTTGTTGTCAAACCGGAGAGTGTCCTAAACGCCACAGGTCCAAGTCAAGTTAATGTTTAAAAAAAAGAAAAGAAGTCATGTTGGTTCCATAAGTTATTCACAAGTTAAAAGAACATTGTGACATGACCAACACCAAAGGCCAATGTTATTAGTCGCTGGTGTGGTTATAAATACATGGGCACGCACCTTTGTGTTTGTGTGTGTGTGTGTGTGTGCGCGCGCGCGCGTGCGCACGCGCGTGCATGTGTGTTATAATCACATGTGTATTTACAAACACACAGAGACTCAGATAGACGCATACACTCATGTGCATATATAGTAATTGCTAAAACAGACAGCTACCGAATAAAGTGTAGTTGCTCCTTTCACTTGAATAACAGCAGCTACGCGACATGGCATGATGTTATATATGTTAGGCTTAGCTGCAGGGAATATAGTGTGTTTTGCAACGATTCCCATAGATGCTCAATGAGGTTTAAATCTGGTGAATTTAGGGGTCAATAGAATGCCTGAAAGTCAGCCAAATGTCCTTGGGCCCAGTTTCATGTCATCTGTTCATGTGAGGTGTTTTATCATGCTGGAACAAGCCATAACCGCCGGTGCACGCAGGGAGCGTAAAGGACTACAAATTTGTTGCAATGAGATCTCAAAACAGGCTCCAATTTCACAGGTGGTCCTTACGAATTCCAATGATATATATCACGTACAATTGTAAAGCCACTGGTAGCTTACACAATATCCAGCTGATAAATTGAATCCAAAGCCTTATGTAGTCTCCTCCATAGATCATCTACCATTGGACAGTGGTGGAACATGGGGGTGAGCACGGAGTGACAGCCGCCCTAGGGCGAAACATTATGGAGCGCAAACTCACTCGGTATTTGGCAAGTTTATTGCCGGCACTGGGAATGAATCGCAAGTGAAATATTCCACTTCCAATATTTTCACAAAAAAACATGTGTAAATAAATGTCTCGCCTAAGTAGAGATTTACTTGACCCCCCCTCCCACTGTCAGGTTGCAACAAATCTCGCCTAACTCGATCCAATCAAACCAAACTTATTGGTACGTGCTGAAAAATTAAGACCAATTTAGGTTAGGGTAGGCCAAGTTTTAACACATTTATCGTCGAAAATGTCGGGAAATCAATTCAAAAAGTGGTGAAAGAGGGCCTAAATTTTCCCCCTTTTTATTTACTTTAATATCCTTTCAATTACCTTACTATCCTTCTTATGACTGCTCGCAGATACTTATTTCATTAACAGCGCGTTATGAATTATTTTGGCGACAGTAGTTCTTCGATCATGCGCAGTGCGGACGGAAGCACATGACGACCAAAACGGGAAATGTGTTAAAGAAACATCAAAAAGTGTTGTTTAATTCTGTTTTCCCTCGGTTGAGGCCAGATTGAAAACTAATCCATATTAATGTTTTAAGATGTACTCCTGGAATGGTAAACACAGCGTTTCTTTGTAAAATCATAATAATGATTTTTTCCTCGAAATTGGTCGATCAAATATGACTTATATTAATGTTTAACGAGCCGTATATTCTTATATACAGTTTTGATGCGAAAAGATTCCCGAGTTTTATGGCACAATTTTGATGGTTTGCAGGGTGTTTTAAAATAATAATAATATTATTATTATTACTATATGTTTTACGCTTTGAAGTTTAAAAAAAACCATGCACTCCCGCTGAAATATATGGAAAAATGCTTTACTGCAACGTATATATGTATTCGGCTGTTAAATTAGGATATATTCTGATATTGACACTTTTTGTTTATTTCAGTCTTCCCGGTAGTGTTGTTACAGTCTTATTTACGGAGGAACGGTGTCACGGTGTTATGGCGTTATCGCGCTAAGGTTTCATGGTGCTGTCGTTCGGTTGATAATAAACATCCGTATGAGACAAACTACCCTCACGATCTTTATACAACTGAGAGGGACAACTATACTTTTATTTCCTGTTTATTTCAGGCAGAAATTTAAAAAATGGAGCTACATAGGCAACAAAAGAAGAAATAACCTGATGCGGAAAGGAATTTTTATTGGATGCTTTCGATCAGCCTTCATCTTCGTTTTGTTGCCAATCTGACGAATATACACAATATAATGAAACTAAATATGCAGTATTAACCAAGAAAGATGTAATTTGCTTAATTTTTATGTAAATTGCTACAAACCACAAATTTCTGATGATCTAAGCGTACAAAATGGTGAAGATAGATGCTAAAACTTTTCAGAACAAAGACGGATCTTTCAAAGTTACAAACGATCGAGAAGTTATTTGAGTGCCGACGTGTCGAAGAGTCAATGAGAAGTGAAACGAATACAAAACATGTGGTTGACAACCACTGCTTCATGAATTGCTGGTTTCAAAGAAAACTACAGGATGGGTTTATGGTTCTGCGTAATTGGTTGTTGTACTCTATTAAAAATGATGCAGTGTATTGTTTTTGATCTTTATTGTTTTCAACAGCCCCAGTCAACCATAGCACAGTATTCAAAAAATCTTGTGGATTTCGAAAATGGGAAACATGCAACAAAAGAATACCAAAACATGAACATGGCACTCATCATGCGTTATTTCTTGAATGGAAAGACTTTGAGAGACGCAGATCAGAAAGGTCTGCGATTGACAGAGTAATACGGAAGCATATGGAGAAACAGAAGCAATTGTGGAAGGATCTGCTCATGCGCTTTGTGGATTGTATCAAGGTTTTGGCGACAACATCTGGCATTTCGTAGACATCGAGAAGTCATTGCATCAAGTAATAATCTCGGTACTTTTCTTGCACTCGTTAAGCTACTTAGCAAGTATGACCCTCTGTTGCAGCGTCATTTGGATTATATCAAGTTGCATCCACATCTGCAACATTTTTTTCTGGCAAGATACAGAATGAGTTCATTGAGCTACTGGGCAATGAATTTACATTATTTGCTTCTTTTGACTCTCTCTAGGATTGTCATCTGTAAATTCTCAAGTGTGTCGATGTTGACGACAAATCTAAAATTGCTGTAATCAAGGAAGTATGAACTGATTTTATTAAAATTCACGAAAAAGAGGCCGAGAGTGCTACAGAAGAAATTACCTCAAAATTAGAATGAGATGGTCTTGATTTGAACAACTGACGTGTAAAGACGTATGACAATGCTGCAACAATGGTTGGGAAGATGTCCGTGCTCAGAAACGCATATCAGAGAGAAACCTGAAAGCAATTTTTGTGAATTCTGACAACCATTCTTTGAGCCTGACAAGAGTGCATGCAACATCAGAACACGTGTTTGCTATATCATTTTTTTGAGTTCATTGTACATTTTTTCTCCAGCTGCAGTAGGAGTAATTGAAGAAGACAGTGGAGACGGCTGTAAATCGGTCCCCTGATACAAGAGTGCTAGGCGCGATGCTGTTCACGTTGTAAAAACGAAGTTGGATGACACAGCCAAACTTTTGGAAGATATGGCAAGTGACACTTCAGTATCCGACGACACAAGAAGCGACGACAGATGATTGCAGCACAACATGCAAACTTTCAGCTTTCTAACTATGCTGCCATTCTGGGACGACGTGCTGACTTCCATCGACTGAGTACAGAAGAGAACTTCACTGTCCTAGAATTAACTTCAATGAAGCTCGAGCTGACATTCAAAGTCTGCAAAAATTCAATTGATCTGTTTGATCGAAAAAAGGGTTCAGTTCGACATTCCAACTACCTGAAGAAGGCAAATGGCGAAAAGAAGGACAATCGTTAATGTAAATATGTGTCATTCGTAAAGACAGCTTATCACAGGCGTTATTATCACCGCTGTTTAAACGCATTACTCACCGTCCGCTTAACTGGATCACCGTCAATGTTCAGCAAACATTGATGAATGTCAATCGATGTATTTGTTCGGTATGATGGAATTTACGAACACACCTCTGCTTAATAAGAACTTTCATGTCAGATGCCATTTTGCTATCTGTAACAAAACAAGACCTAGGAGAATGATATGATCAGATCGAAGAGCTCGCTGAACAAGCTTTTGAGAAGTTTGACAAGTTTCAATTTTTCTCTGGTTGGAATACAGGAAGGTAACAGGAGAAAGTACAGGTGACGCTACTCAAAACTCACAGAGGTAGTCACGGTGATACACATCGATTTCATCTTCTCTGTGATGATTGCAGGAATAACATGGGCTATATCAAGCTGCCCCATTTCTTTCTCTGAGGCCACTTGGTCAGTTCTACTGTCTACATCGAGAAGCTAGACAGAGCGATCAAGCCATGGATAAAATGGGTTATCTAGATGAAGCAATACGTGTCCCAGCAGGACTCTACTCTTCCTTACATGACCCACGTGACCCAGTGGCTGTTTGAGAATTTTCCGGATCATATCACCAGCAATATGTGGTCCCATTTGCTCTTCCGATTTTCATCCGCTAGACAGTTCCGGAACCAGTGAACCCACAAGGAATTGTCGAAGGCCGACATCTTAGATACCAGACGAAATTACCTTATTCAAGAAAGCAGTCACCTCCGAGGTTGCATCGTGGTTGTCCTTGAAGCTGAGGGCGGTTTTGCCATCTATAGGCATTTTTGTTTTCAACGTTAAACATGTGTACCAAGTTTTAAAAGTTACTGTTTTTCCTCTTATATCTTTGTTTTTCTTTATAATTCGTTCTTAATTACCTGATACACACACACACTATATATATATATAGTATAGCTGGCCACTTGTATTCGAGGATACCTATTTACTCGGGTGGCTAGCCAATCCCCATTGCAGACACTTGGTCAGACGCATTAGTGTTTATTCAACACTCACAGAGTCAATCTGTGGTTTACGCTGTAACTATGCTAAGCATATCTTCGTTACAGTTTCTGGGAAAGAGCATAGCGTGATCAACAATTTGGAAAAGGTCAGCATGCTCAAGCTCTCGGCCTCGATGACTTGTGACTTCGTGCTAGTACAGCTATCGACCGCCCCAAGGGTCCGTCTACCCATTTCGTATGGTTTTGAGGCACTAACCAATAACATCAGGAAGTCTCCTTCCTGACAAATCGACCATGGTGAGATTCGAGCCCAAGACTCATGGTCAGAATGCGAACTTTCTAACCACTCAGCCATATATATATATATATATATATATATATATATATATATATATATATATATATATATATATATATATATATATTATAGTTCATTTTTGAGTTCATTTTCAACAATTTTGTTATATGTCTTACTGAGCTAAGTTTAGAAAAGTTCGTATTTTCTTCTCGCTCTCGCTCTCTCTCTCTCTCTCTCTCTCTCTTTCCATCCCTCTTTCTCTTACCCATGCGCGTGCGCATTTATATCGTTTAAAATTTGCTATATTTATGGAGGAAGAGTGCTAAATATCGAAGATAGAGTGTTTATAGTTAAAAAAAAAAGAAAGTGCAGCCATAGAAATCAGCACTGCATGGTGACTGTCAATTTCACGCTTCAAACAATCCTTAGACCAAATACTTTCGCGGGGTCTATATATAGACCACTAGAGGGTGTATATATATATATATATATATATATATATATATATATATATATATATAATATACAAATAACACAACCCTCTCAAAACATATGAGGAAATTCAAAACTCAAACAAAACATACCAAAAAGTAATATGGAAAATAAGAAAAACAGCGCCAGTTTATAACAGCTGAAAACATAACTTTTGCCAACAGGAGAAATAGTGATAATCACCCAGCCAGTAAAAGTTAAACACCTAAACGAAAGGACAGGACTCATTTCTAAATGCAGACATGAAAACAGATTCCTATAATTACCTATATTTACATCAAGATTTAAAAAAAAAAAAATAAATACCATAACTGAAATTTAATAAACTTTATTTAAACTACCAACATTTAGAAACGAAGATAATATATAAAATAAATAAATGAAATATATAAATAAATTAATTAAACGCCATGACTATAAATAGCTTAGAGTATTAGCCTTAAGCAAGAGAACTGGAAAAGGCAGGCTTCCTCCTTCCTCCACTTCACTTAATCCCCCCCTAGTATATAGAGAACGCGAAGAGAATAGGGACACATTGTTTGAAAACTGCTTGAAGTGTGAAAGCAACAGTATGCAATGTAATGTTGATTCCTATGCCCACGCTGTTCTCTCTCTCTTTCTCTCTTTCTCTTTCTCTCTCTCTCTCTCCATATATATATATATATATATATATATATATATATATATATATATATATAATGTGCGTGAATGTCTGTCTCTGTGTGTGTATGCCCGTGCGCCATCGGCTAGATAGGTCCTGAATGACAGTCTGCTTCTGCTGTTGTTCAGGCATTAATTACAGAGAGAGAATTGCTTGCTGTGACACATTCTGTCTTGTCACAATACATTTGTCACCATTAACACGACACGGCGGGAAAATGGTCGAATCCTTTCTTCTTAGAAAGTCGTTGAGCGAACTTGAACCCGTTAAATATAGATCAAAGACGTCAGTTTTCATTGTTTATAACTGATAACAGTTAAGTTTGAATCCACCTTCGAAAATACATCTAATCTTTATCGAATGTTTTTCTTGTCACTGTCTTTATATATATTTATTAAGATTAGTTTAGCCTGGTCCAAGGACTTAGAAGTGAAGCATTTAGTGAGAAACCAAATTACCACACTTGAAAATTGTTCTGTCGGACGTACTTCTATATACAATTACGAATAGAAACATACGTACGTGGTCCTGATATATATATATATATATATATATATATATATATATATATATATATATATATATATATGGGGGTCCAATATACAGGGCATGTGTCGTAGAGTAATAGTAAATTTATTTCACAGGCCTCTTGTGTGTGCATTGAATCCTGTTTTTATTGAGGGACAACTATTTTAGCTTAGAGCATAACAATATCTCTCTATAGATAGATAGATAGATAGATAGATAGATAGAAATAAAATAATAAGAGAGAGAATATAATTCTTCTCTAAGTTGATTGAAATATGCCTCTAACTACCCTTCGAACACCAGAAACTCAAACCACAATACCCACAATAATCACGAGTTCAGACGCAAATTTGACAGTTAGCAGTATGACATTCTTCCAGGTTTTCAGTCAATGAGCCAAAAAGATTTTGTTCAAACGCAAAACAAATCGTAATAAGAAACGATTCTTGATAAGAATGGAGACGTACAAATATAAGAACAGTGAAGCTTGGACTGTGCCTCTAAATATTTCAAAGGGTTTGGCATGCTGGACTTATTCACAAGCTCAAGGGCTACGATGTCTCTGGACGAATATTTGGCTTAATTCAATCGTTCCTAACAAATCATGTAATGAAGATCGTTTTGAATAGACACTCTTTGAGTTCATTCCATATTAATTCAGAGGTCCCGCAAGGCTCTATCATTAGAGCCCCGTTGTTGCTGATCTTCATCAATGACCTTCCCGATGTCAATAGTTCCCGACTAGATATTTATGCAGGTGACATAATTATTGACTCCGGTTTTAATGGTAAGTCACTTTCCCACCCTTGTAAGTTTGCCTCTATATATCTTTTTTATAAATACTTTCATGTAAATTATTCGAATGAGCTCTTCACTATGGTACCTAGACTTTATTAATTTAAGCGCAGACCTAGACTGGCATCGAGATCTCATCAATTTTCAATTGAGCTGGTTAGGTGTAGCTGTAAGTTCTATGCTAACAGTTCCTTCTCTCGCACTTCTCGCTAGTGGAACTCCTTTCCAGATCTATGCTTTCCAGCCAACTTTAATCAGCAAAAATTTAAATGCAATGTCAGTCGCTATCTACTGTCCACCTCTCTTCTTTTTCTGCTCATCATTAATGTTTATGTTCCTAATTCTTCCACATTCCCTAATCCCTTTTGTTTTAGTGACATTACTGTCTTGCTTGGGGTGATACCGATAAAAAAAACGCCCCACAAAATGAAATTACTCTCTTTCAATCATCATTTTAATCATAGCAAGACAAAGCTGGCAACTGCTTTCGAAAAGGGCGTCCAGTCGGTGGTTAACTGTGATAAGGAATGGCTTGTAAATTTTAACAAAACAAAACTGCTTTCATTTAATCACCACAGAGAATGTTTTCTGCATGCCATCAACATGGCCGATGCAAAACTCCTGGAGAGCAACACTTTGTTCTTTTTTGTTTTCCAATGACATGAAGTGGAGTGATCGTATTGAATCAATTGTTATGTCTGCTGCAAAGAAAGTTGGTTCCTTGTATCGTACCAGACCCCTTTTCTTGTCAGAATCCATCTTGCATATTTATAATTCTACCATTTGTCCGGGGGTTGAATATTGCTGCCATATCTGATCTGGTGTTCTTGCTGTATATCTCGAAATTCTTGAAAAATTTTCAAAGTTTCTGTAAGGTAATCGATCCTGATCTGACATTTCGACTTCTGTCTCTTTCTTCCCTATGTGACGTGGCCTCTCCCTGTCTTTTCTACAAGTAATTTTCATGACAGTTGTTCGAATCGGCTGTTTTCCTTAATGCGTCGACTACATGAATTTAAGAGTGCTACTAGATTGGCAACTAGTTCCAAACATTTTACTGTTGAACTAATTAGATGCAACCGTAAGTTCTATTCTAATAGTTTCTTTTCTCGGACTTCTCCTGTAGAACTCTTCCAATTCCCTGCTTCCTTGTTACCTACAATCTTCAAAAATATAAATGAAACGTCAATCGCCATCTTCTGACTCTTCTTTTATTGTGCTTTTCGACACTTTTCCTCACTAAAGTCTTCTCATTCTCTTTCACTCCCTAATGGCACTATCGCTTTGCTTGGGATGACATGATTAAAAAAAAAATTCTTAATGAGTTTGACAAGAGATACATACAATAACCAGAACTGAACAGACAGAAGGTTGCATTACGAGAAGGGGGGGGTTAGTCTACCATTCGTCTGTGCATTAAATATTGTTGCTACATCTGGTCTGGTGTTTCTGCTATGTGTTTTGAGATCTTGGGCAAAATCCAAAGAAGAATCTGCAATAATATCGGTACTGACCTTGCATCACAGATTCAATCACTTAGCTTCCCTGTGCCTTTTCTACAAATATTTTCATGGTAATTGTTCTGATGAGTTTGCAGTGAGTCCCGATAAAAAATAAAACAAAATAAAATATGTAAACAAAACAAAAAATTCAAGTAAATATATATAATTTATAATTATTTTATATTTACCTTTCTTATAATTTTTTAATAACATTTTATACACGAATCAGAGCAAAAAAATAGAGGCGTCATGTTATAGTCAGAAAAATATTTTAATCAAATTAACTGTTTTAATAGCAGTTTTAACTTTTTCGATTTCAACCGTGCTATTTCGAATTGTGTGCTATTTTACTATTCACTAACGATTCTGAAAGTGAGGACTGTACACCACGAGGAGAGAAAAGGCAAACCATTAAAAAAAAACAAAAAAACATGACGATAAAATATTTAATTTCTAGCAATTCTTAATAAAATCAGTTATTCCAAGAAATCAATAACAACGTTATTAGTATCGAATTATTTATTTATTTTTATACTTATGGGACTATTCAGTTGAAGTATGTATACGATCATAAAAGAACGACTACAGTTTTGATATGATTATTTCTTTGGAGAACCTTGCGATATTTTCAACTTGTTGGTTAGAAACTGTTGTGGAATTACCCTACATTGTCCCCAGAGAAAATCTCTTAACACTCACCAGGTGGCGTTGTATGAAGCAGTATAAAAGGAAAAGACTTAAACCATCTCTCTCCCCGCCCCACCCAACCACAGGATACCATATTGACAAGATGTGTCTCCGGGAAAACTTTTTAGTGCCTGGGCGAACCGACATTTAAGTCCTAACCAAACCACACGTCGCATCGCATATAACCCCCACCACAATATCTCCACAACAACATATCCCATGTATATATATCTCCATTCAACACAAGAAAATATTCCAGTTCAACAAACGTTACAATGCTGCAATTAACTGAACTGCCATAACAGCAAACTAAAGGATATGTTTCAGGGCAGAGAGTGGGAGAACGTCACTTTTCTTATTCCTTGTATAAGGCGCGTAAGTAAACAAACAAGTCTCGAAACTTCGATGTGAGATTTGAAAGAAACAAACATTAATTACAATGACCTAAAACCAATACAACAAAATACAAGGTTTACAAATAAGTGTGCAAAATTTTCTATTTATGTGCCTTATTAGTAAAAGGAAGTTTTTCCTGAGAGAAAATGGTGGGGACCAGAGAATGTCAGCTCTCTTATCCGTATTATAGAAAAAAAGGTGCATACAATAATAAACAAGACTTGAAAACTACTACGTGAAATTTGAAAGTAACATTTATTACATAAACAAAGAAAAATAATATAAAAAATACAATTTATACAAAAAAAGCTTGTACACAAATTTCCTTTTATGCGTTTTTTTTAGTAAAGGCCCGATAACAGATCACAATAAGAATTAATAGGCACTTAAAAAGATATACAATATAAACTTCTAACAATGGAAAAAAAAAACTTTGAGACAGTAATACAAAAACTTAAAATAAGGTTCAACACAAACTTAAAAAATGCACCTACCTATTTGAAAGGCGAAAAACATAGAAGGGCTTCGGCAAATAAACTTACGTCATTAGAACTTTTAACTTTTTTTCTTTTTTAGAGCACAATTCTATTCACAGCTTTCACTTGATTCACCCTCTTTTTTTGTTTGCTTCTTCTGTGAAAAACATCCCTGCTCATCTACACTCACAGGTGACCGCCAAAAATAGGCTTTACTTCAAGAACCTTATTTTTATGCTCTCAGGTCGAAATTTCGTGTAAGTGTATATGTTGTGGTGTCTATGTTGGACTCTTCCGCTTACTATAAGATTAGTAGGAGAGAAGGCCTTGTGGGAACAGTCGAATAGATTGTTCAACTGTCGAACTCTCTGCCTCGGCAAAGAGGAACCCGGACGAAGCTTTGCCGAAGGGCAAAGTTACGTCCGGGGAGGTAGACAGGCCCTGAAACCGTTTATACGGGTTCAAAGGGAATATTTTTGGCCGAGCCTACGGGCTCGGAGAACCTACGGTAAACTCGGCCTTGTGCCACATACATCCCTCGTTAAATATGACAGCCGAATAGATTGAACTCTGGTCATCCGACACACTCATTAGTCGTGAAATGCTCTTCTGTTGTATTTACTGTTTAATATATAATATATCTGTCACACTTGTTTTTTTTTTTATTTCTTTAACTATTTACTTGGTGACAACAGTATATATGTTTGTGTATGACTTAACGGCATAAAACTCCCTCTGAGAACCAAACATGTGTGTCATTCCTCTTCTTCCAGCTATTCCGTTCCGTTCGTGAAATAAGATATTAATATACTATGGAAATAATAATCCCCATAATGTGGGAAATAAAAACTGCGAGAATAAACCTTTCTTTCATAGTGCACCCAGTAACGAAATGAAAATAAATAGAATTTAGTAAAAGGCACGCGAATTAGTACCCGAATTAATATAGTTCTTTCTCTCCATCTTTCTTTTGGGATGGTTGATCCAAATAAAAAGCATTGCTTCTTCTTTTCCCAATTAGAGTTAGTTTAGTCTGCTAGTAGGTTTTTACTTTGCACTGTCCAACATCATCTTTTCATACGACTCTTAATCTTGCATATGGTTGGTGGCAAGTAATTTACTCGTGTAAGTCCAAAAGAAAAAGAAAACATAACATTTGAACAAAGAAATATTAACAAATATGTTAATAGGACATTTTACAAAGGGAAAAATGTAAAATAAAATGTGAAGAGTTCAAAGCAACATTTGGTGTCAGTAGTTGAGGTACTTACATAATGGCGGGAGAGAAAAAAATATGTCTTTTCGCTATGAAAAGTCACTGACAAAGAGATTGATTCTTTTAAATCTCACACCGCCTGTAATTATCGCCAGAAGGGTGGTAATCCAAAATCTCATCGCCTGTGATTATCCTCAAGGGGCGGTAATCCGTCAAATTCAAAGTACACATCACGGTGATCGTAAATTCCAGTACCTTCAAGATATTGATCATGCAGCTACAAGCATGAACAACAGTAAGTAGAGAGCAAGCCTATTTTAACCCGGTTGATTTAAATTCTAAACTCTCTCATTAAATACCCAGGGACCCGCTCTGTATCATTTTTCTTAGATTTTTTTAAATTATTTTTTATGTGTTAATCCTTTTATCAATAAATGTTGTTTTATTTTATTCTTGCTGAAATACATGACATCTATTTTCGTTTCATTTGTGACTGTTGTCGCAGAATGTTGGTTCGTACATTCAAAATTAATGAACGCTAAGGAAGCGAACGTTGTTTTGGAATGCTTCTTTTCTTTTTCATAAATACAAATTGTATCCTTCTCGTCCAACAGAGTTCGAAGCTCACGGTACATTGGAACAGAGAGAATAAGAGAGCGAGCGAGAGAGAGAGCGAGAGAGAGAGAGAGAGAGAGAGCTAACACCTCTTTCTTTGTAGCAGGTTGACGTCCTAATTAGTTCTTGGGAAGTTAGCTCATCTTACTTTCTGGCAAAAGATTAGAGAGAACTGACATCGAAGCCTTCTTTTCCTGGGTTTTTATTGAAGTCAATGAGTGGTTGTGGTGTGCGGTAAGTGCGTGTAGGATTGTTCTTCGTTTTTGAGCTTTTGTTTTGCTTATCCAAGTATCTGGTTTCAGAAGTTAGCTGATTGACATGTCTTTAAAAATGCCGGTGCTAATGTTAATGAGGTATTAAGGAGATGATAAGTAGGTGATATTTTTCAGGGTGGGGGGGGAAGAAATTATTTTATTTTATTTATTAAACTTAGCCTACTACTACTACTACTACTACTACACATTCATTGGTTTGAGAGCATAACTTACATTTATATTCTCTAACAGATTTCTTCATACAGAAATTCTAAACTCTGACAAATTACCATTATTTAGATTAAAAAAAAAGAACTAATGTTTTGAAAATTATAATATTCAGCTGAGCAATCAGAAGATGAAACATTTGTAGATACAATGAAGCTGTAATAAATTGAGTCTGGAACGAAGTAAATAGCAAGAAGGCTATTAGGTTGCGGCAACAGTTTTCAGCTATATTATAAATATTTCAGTCATGTTATAAAGATTTAGGAAATGTAAAATTGTCTATATATATAAAACAGAGGATATCTGAGTGTCTGTGTGCCTGTCTGTCTGTGTGATACCTTTTCACTCGAGATCCATTCAACCGATTTTGACCAAACTTGGGATATACATTATACAATGTAAGAGATAGGTTATTAGCGTAACAAATCGATATTTTTTTAAAAATCAATAAAGCCGATCAAAATCGATAAATTCAACTTTTTTCCTCATATTTGGTCGGTACGTAGGTTACTTACATCATGACGAGCTCAACAATACCTCAATTTTATTTCTACGCCACTGCGTTTAGCGAAAAACGAAACATTGCTTTCAACACAAATTTTAAACTAAAAACTCCCTCAATTTTCAAGCAATCTAATACAAACTTCGTTCAATTGTAGCCAACAATAAGTTGATTTTTTAACAGTTATTTAACTTGATAATTGAGTGCACCCATATAGTGAAAACCCGCGTAAATAGCGAAAAGTGGCGATTTTGTTTACTGTTTTTTTTTTAATTTTTCGTTGATCTTTCAACCAATTTTCATCAAAGTTAATTGCTTTATAAATGTATCCTCTTTTACATCCCTGGCAGCAGACTGACAGAGTGAATTTCAAAAATTCAAAAATAATTGTGGCCTGAAGTGGTTCTTCATGATGCCTTTTTTACACCTTCATGTCCTCGGCTAACTTCGATTGAATAAATACAGACTAATTCTGTTATATCAGTAACTGCATTAATTCAAAATGTTTTTAATGAAAGTACTCTAAAGTAATTGAAAAAGATAGACGCTGTTACATCTAAACATGATGATGTTTTTGCTCCATTCTAATTGAACGCTTTTTCTGATTGACCAGCTTGGTATGGCTGCTAGTATAAAATAATTAAAGGATAAATAAAAATAATACAAGAGACTAGGTTTGTTTATTACACTTTATTTTGAGGTGTTTAAAAACGTTTATTAATAGAAAAAGGTTACTAACACGAATTCTTTAAATAAAAAACTGCTACAATGAAGCCGAACGCTTAGTAAAAAATTAAATTTTATTTTTATTTTTTTCGTTTGCTCAGGATAAGATCTTTAACGTTCTTTCTTCTCTTCTCCCAGTAAAATCCTTTTGTCTTCTGCAGTGTTAGCGTAATTTTATTAGTGTCTTTTTGTGTCTATTCAGCTCGTTATTATTTATGAAATCAGTTAAATGTAACGCATTGTTTACACATAGTGGTGGTGATAAGAAAGAGCGAATATTTCCAGTTTGAATTTCCGTGATATACTAACACCTTAATGCAACAGACGGACGGC